GAGAGAGAGAGAGAGGATAAATATTCTAAAATTTCTAAATCATATCTTTCACTTCGGAAGCCTTAGATTTGTGATTTAGTATGCAAATCTTTAATAAGCCTTTAACTTTCCTCGATATATTCTCTTTTAGGCAATAAGGGATCCGGCGAGGCACTCACAAAGCGTGCCATTCTTTCCTTCCTCTTCTCGATCTGTCTACAATATAACCGGCATTTCCTACGTGTCGGATATTTAGTTCGGAGTGTATATTTTTATCGTATCATGCCACGTAATCTCTAAGCAAGCCTTTTTTTTACTGACGGCTCATGCGCATTGAGCACCGATGGATTTTCCAGCTTTACGCCCCGCCATGTTAAAAAACGCATGTTTAATTTGCATTCTCCTACGAGAGAGAGCTGATCGAACTTCATAGTGACTGTTTTACGGCCGAACTTTTGTACACGTACGGCACGTTACAACATTATGGGCAGCATATGAAGGATCGTATGCGGGTCTACACCTCTAGACAATAGGAAAAACGATCGCTCGACTATTAGCAGACAAATGCAACGTCGAGAAGTGAAAAGAGGCAAAAATACTCGAGTCGAGAGAAAGAAATATATATCGACAGTTTCTCTAATCTAAATAAATATCTCCATATCTTTAGGTAATTATCTAAGTGGGTCGGAATCTAAAAGGGGACTGGGCAAGAGAAAAAAAATCTCTCCATAACTGCGGATATTTTACAAATGGATTCATTTATAAAATAAATTTTCTCACAAGAAAGTTCCGTATTTTAAATTTTTCCAAAAATGTATATCTCTTTCCATTTTCATTTATGATGATGTATTTCGCTTGTCTGCAGAATAAAAATTATTAATAATTCACGCTTGGGCGTGAGAAATGATTTGTATTTACAAATAAATCCAGCAATTAGCCGCAACAAATCGGGCAACTCATTTTTTTTTATTGTAATTGTATTCAATCGTATTGATTTCTGATGCCGGGACGAAAAGAAGGAAAATTTATTTCATCGAAGTTAACCGAGACACAGATTTAATGTTGCACGTTCGATAAACATGTTAAATATCGTTAATACTTTAACGCATGAATTTGAGCATTTTTTTTTGAGTAAATAGGAAACACATTTATGTCCCGAAAAACATCTAAATTCATGCCATTAATAATTCCACATGTATATACACAATCAGAGAAGTGATCCACATGGGTATTATTAATAATGGCTGAGCTCTCTCTCTCTCTCCGTCTCTTTCTTTCTCCCTCTCCCTCGCTCCTCTTCTTGTATTCCTTATTCTCAGCCATTCAGACGAGAAATCGTACGAATTGAGATTGAGTTAAACGTCATTGAAGATTAATTTAACCTGACGTGGTGCGGCGGCGGATCGTAGGAAAGTATCGCGGAAAGAAAACAATTCCGTCGCCGGCCCTGAACAATCAATATGGCTTCCAGCCGTTGCCTCGTTCACCGTGCACGCCAGCGTAAGCGTGGCCATCTTTCGCCGTCCCTCACTCTCTCTCTTTCCCTCTTTCGTTCTTCCGCGAGGAACTTCAGCGCGGTTGGCTCGGGCCACTTCGCGCCGCTTCGGGATCGCCGATCCGATTAGTCGAGCGGTCGGGTATCCTCGTGTTGCTGTTGCATCGCCGTGCGATGCGAGTCGAGAGCTGAAAGTAGTTAGAGGTGTCTAGAATTAGTCGACGACGGAAAGGAGACACACGCGTGCAAGCCATTCGCCTTTCTGCAGCGCGGAGAGTGAGCGAGAGAAAGGAAGAAGAAAAGGCGAGAGAAAGAGAGAGAGAGAGTGTGTATGTGAGAGAGAGAGAGAGAGAGAGGCGTCCCGCCATCGGTGGCGGAGGAGGATCGACGGGTCCGCGTCGTCGATAAGCGTTGCCGATAAGCGCGTCGTTGGGGTGAGATCGATCGCCGCGCCGGAAAGCGGCGCGTTAGCATCGGGGCAGGTAGATAAGACGAAGGGAAGGAAGAAAAGAACAGGTAGAAAAAAGTTGTACCGGAAGAGAGACGGATTTCCGCGCGAGATACGCGAAGAGGAATTGGAGAGAGAAAGGATAACTGAAAGGACACGCGCCAAGAAGAGGGAGGAAATGCACCGGTAGTCGGGATCGCTGAGACGAGATACGTCTGCGGAGATGCGCGTTGTTCCTGGTCGCAGCAGATTTGCTGCTCGTGGTAGCTAGCCGTGTGCACAGGCATGGCCGACGTAGCGTCGCCCGAGGGCGACAATGGGCTCGTCGCCGCGACGCCCGAGGGTTGCCGGGCGCCGCCGGTGACGGAGACCGAGAGCGACAATTGTGGGGAAGGAGATATGTCCGCTGCCGCCACCGTCGATAACAAAGTTGTCGACGACAAGGTCAGTATCCACGAGATCCTCGAAGGGATGACGAACGAGTTTAATAAGGGTGTGAGCCCGACGAAGCATAACGACAGTGATAAAGTGACAACGGAAGAGGTGACGACACTGTCTTTGCCACCAAAGGTTGTTGATGAAGTGTTCAAGGGAGAAAGAGAGTCTGATGTTGCCAGTGAAGAGGCTGTTGTGAATTCAGTGAATATCATTCAGACTCCGGAGGAAAATCATAAGAATGAGGAGGAAAATTCGATGACAGCAGGAAAGCAAGAGATTGTCAAGAAGGATAACAATATACCTAGGATTGTTCTGACATTCAGGACCATAGATGAGAATACGGATCATGGTAAGAAGACTAAAATATCCAGTTGTTCCTCTAATCTCACTCTTGTTCCTGATGAGTTGGCCAACTGTGATCAAATCGGTGGTGTCTCAGTAAAGATAGAGAATTCTGATGAGAATTCTGATGTAGTAGAGGAATCTCAAGCTGAGGAGTCTCAAGCAGAAGAGTCTCAAACAGAAGAGCCTCAATTGGAAAAAAAAGACCTTCAAATAGAAGAGACAAAGAAGAAGGAATCTACAAAAGTAGCCGAGCCAAAGATCATGGATGAAGATAAAGTGGAAACTACAGAGGAGAAACATAATAATGATGTACAGCATCCAATTCAAAAAAAACCTGAGATCACAAAGAATAATGCTGAAAATAGTAATGTTAAGGCGATGTTCACAGAAGGTACTCAGCAACAAGAAAATACTGCACCAGTTACCAGAAAGAGAAGGATTGGACGACCTAGATTACGAGCGCTTAGGTTTTTTGTTTTTCCTCGCTTAATATTTATCAAATATTTGCACGTAATATTTATAAATTGAATCTGTTTTTTATCCTTTTTAGCGATTCAGTCCCTCAAGATGAAGAATCCCCTGGCCCAAAGCGTTCAGCTAGGAGATTATGTAAAGAGTCTGTAAAGAGCACTGTACTGGAAAGCGCCATGGCACGAAAGGAGAAATCCAATTACACTGAGGAGTTGCATATGCAAATTAAAAAGAGGAAGTACAATAAGCCGGGTCGGCCCAAGAAGATCATTCCGGGCAAGGATCAGACGAAGCAATCACAAACGAAGATCTCTGATTCCCGAGAGATGGAGACATCGCTAGCGTCTGACAGCAATATTAATACGGCTGAAAATGCAATGTTAGATTCTTCGCGCAAGACTTCAATATCGGAAAACAGTATAAATGACACTGTTTTGGAAGATTCACAATCATTCTTGTCTGACTTTGAAGGAATGCCAAAGTTGTCACCGATGACGAGAAGTTCGGAATCACAGACTAAAATGAACAACTCTATCAGTAGTCCTAGCAGCGACGACATACCTTTGGCGGATATCCAGAAGCCTTTTTTGAAACCTGCTACTCAATCTGCTATCAGGCCCAAAAGAGAAAGGGGACGTCCTCGTGGAAGCACCCAAGCGGCGCGAAAAATAGCGAAGGCGGATCTATATGAAGGTGATATAATGTTAAATATTTAATATATAAGTAATCTTTTCCGGTTACAGTTTTATAATATGAAAATTAATAAATAATTAAAATTAATAAATTATCTTGCAGATGGTTCTCCGTCCGTTGCGGAAACAGGAAAGAATAATGATTATCCTGAAGGTAAAGCTTCGATTTTTAATATAAAATTTAATGAATATAATGAGTGAAAGTGCAAATATAAACTCTATAATCGTTATAGATGAAGGCATATTATTTTACATATTTCTTTTTTATGCTTTAGTATAAATAATTATGTAAAATAGCATTTTATTTTATTAACGTCAAGTAAAACATATTAACTTTATTACTTTATAGAGATGCCAGCCAAACGAACTCGCCGAAGTATGGTGCCGAGCCCAAGCCCTGCGGAAGGACAGGCATCGAAGCCAGAATCAACAGCGATTATGAGCGAAGTTTGTATTATTGTATACTACACAACTAACACTAGCATAGTAGACTAGAAAAGTTACAAGTTATAATCTGTAAAAAGTTCTATTAACAATTTACAATTTACAATTTTTTTGTTTTATAACTAATGGACATCCATCTTATCGGCATTTATAAATACCTATAATAGCTGTTGATAAATACTTACATAAATGCCTATATAAATTTGCACTTTCTTTTCCATTCATATTCAGCTTATAATGCAAACGCTTGACTAGGATTCTTATTCTCTTTTTATTAATTTCAGACGTACGTGCAATCCATGCTATGCTTATGCCAAGTACGATCTCAATTATACGTGACGATAACTGGTTCTGGCGGACCACTTTATTGTACTGCTATTGATTCAATTGACAATCGTGTGGTAGGCTGTTGCAACGAAGTAGATACCAATGATGTGGCGATGCGACGACCAAGTACTCGTGTACCTTTCATCATTCTTTGCCGTATGCATAAGGAACGGTTGCTACGTCACAATTGCTGTCCTTCCTGCGGCATGTTCTGCTCACAAGGCAGGTTTGTTCAGTGTACCAATGGCCATCAGTATCATCGCGAATGCGAGATCTATCCGAACAAGAAAGGTGTCTGTCCACACTGTGGCAGTGAAACTGCAGCCTATGATGTGCTGGTGACAATGAATGGTATGCGGCGACCAGTTTTCATTCCTACGCGTAAAAAATTCTCCAAATTGCCGTCTGCAAAGATGAGTCTGCCTGGAAAAGGTGATAATACAAAGTTGGCCGAGAGTCCGCCTAGCCCGTTAATTAAACCTGATATTATCAAAATACCTGAACCGTCGATTAATACTGAAAGGCCAGAACGTTATACCATTATGAGTCTTTATACATCCGTAAAAAATGGAGATTTGGAAAAGTTGGTGAATGTATTAGGTGAGTAGAATCCCTTTCTTTTCTGAGATAGAAATTAAAATGAATTGATAGTAATCGAGTTTATGAATCGGAAATTCCTAAGCTTGGAAATCGTAGGTTTCTTATATTTCTTTTTACTTTTACTTTTATATATTTTGTTTTTCGTTGAATAAATATTAAATATTTTATTCCAGAACTAAAATGAAAAAAGTCAACCTGAGATTTATTACTCAGTTATTGTGTACATTTATTATTTAGATTTATTATTTAGATAAGATCCAATATAAATTTATATTTTTAGCGAATGACGAAAGTATTGTCCATTTACATAATTTAATTAACATATTAGTATAATGTATGATCTATGATTTTCAGCGTGTGGCTATAATGCAAATCACACATTCCGGGATTACGCTCACCGAACCGGTCTGCACATAGCGGCGGATAAAGGCCATTTATCTTGTGTACATGTTCTGGTTCAAGCTGATGCTCAAGTAGATGTAATGGATAGGAATCAATTAACGCCACTAATGCTAGCCGCAAGTAAGGGTAATGCCGCTGTGGTAAAATACCTAGTCAGGATAGGCGCCGACGTGACACTGAAGGGTGAAGATGGTATGACTGCCCTGCACATGGCGGCCAAGTTTGGTCATCTAGAAGTCTGCAAAATTATTTTGACTGAATGTAAAGTGCCAAGAACATTAGTAGGTAATGCGCGTTATGCCGAGCTCGTTTCTATGATTTTTTTTTTGCTTTTTTTATATTTTATATTTAGCGCTTCACATTCTCTAACGTTTCTATTTGTAGATTCTGTGGACGATGGCGGCTGGACAAGCTTAATTTGGGCATGCGAATTTCGTCATACGGATGTCGCACGATATTTATTAGATAAGAAATGTGATCCGCTTATTCGAGATGCCGAGCAAAATATAGCGTTGCATTGGAGCGCTTTCAGCGGTAGTTCCGAGATCACGGAGATGCTCCTCAATGAGGGATGTGATGTAAATGCTGTCAACGTTCATGGTGATACTCCCTTGTAAGTTTCTCATCGATGTAGATAATGCTCTTCTTTTTGTTGATTACAGCATGATAGAAACTTTTGTTACGAGTAATTCTGTGAACAGACTGAAATTTTTAGTTGTTTTACTTATAAAATAATATTTTACTTTTTCTTTCCCCTGTTTAGACATATAGCAGCTAGACAGGATCAATATGCGGTCAGTGTTTTGCTGCTGGCGCGTGGTGCTAAAATAGGAGAGGTAAATGCTGCCGGCGAAACTGCGGTAAATTGTTGCGCCTCAGATGGTGATACTATGGCTGCCTTGAGACTGAATGCGAAAGTTAATGAACTTTCTGAACATATGTGGGAAAAGACGGTTAAAATATTAACGAAGTAATTATGGAATATATTAAGTATAACACACACACACACACACACACACACACACACACACACACACACTAATTTATAATTGTAATTATATTTATAATTGTAATTATTAATTGTATATTTTGTAGCTTTGAATATCCATTTTGAATCACAATGTATACCAACTCCTCTGGCGTGGTACGCACATCATTTGCCAACGTGGTTCCTTCGGTTATCCACTGTTGCTTCAAATGTTATCGAGCTTGCTGTACCACTCTTATTTTTCTTCCCAAACAGAAAAGTGAGAATAACAGCGTTTTGTCTACAAGTATGTTATATTTACTTAATCTATAATAAACAACAATAGAATATTTAAAATTATGTCAATTATGTCAATTATGTCAATTAATTGGCTTTAATATTCTTATACAATATTTCAATGTTGCTGTTCTAGGTGCTTCTACAAATTTGCATTATTGCTACTGGAAATTACAATTTCTTCAATTTCCTTACCATTTGTCTATGCATATCCTTACTAGATGATCAGTTCTTTTATAAACGAAAATCCAAAAACGATAAGTCCCATGTTATGAATTATCTCTCTTCGCTAATGAACATATTAGTCTATGGGGGAGTAATATATGGAACGTGTATTTATTATGGTCTTAAGATTACAGATAACTGGACCATTCAGTCTAATATTGGTATTTAATATTATTTTAACAAATGAAAATTATGTATTTATGTATAGCATTTGTATTCATTATAATCTTTTTTTTTGCAGCATTTACGCAAGAGCAATTTGATCGTGTTCTATCGCGTGTAGTATTGCTTTCTATATGCATCGGTATAATTTCACTTGGATTAACAGTAGTGGATTCAATAGTCAACTCTGCATTCTTTTCAAAAGGGATGCGTAATAAAATAACAACTACATTGGTGACGATTTTCTATGCCATAGCTGC